ATGGGGTCAGGAAGAGTTGGACATGACTGAGTGATTGAAATGAACTGAACTGAATCTATGCATCCCAGGAACAGTCTGCTCAGATTTCCCAGGTCAAACCTTAGGACCTCCTTCCCAACCAGGGCCAAGTGTGGATACCAAGGGCCCTAGACAAGCAGTTGGCACAGCAGAGGCTCAGTCTTAGGTTTTCTTTGCTGCAAGGAGATGGAGAGAACTGAGATTGGTTACACTCTTGTCCTTCTTGTAGTGTCTCGCTTTTAGGCTTCTGAACGCCCCTAGGTCAGCTCTGGGGTATGGGTCCTTCTAAAAAAAAAAACACACAAAATAAAAATGTTTTCAGTTCAGTTCAGTTGCTCAGTTGTGTCCGACTCTTTGCGACCCCATGAATCGCAGCACGCCAGGCCTCCCTGTCCATCACCAACTCCCAGAGTTTACTCAAACTCATGTCCATCGAGTCGGTGATGCCATCCAACCATCTCATCCTCTGTCATCCCCTTCTCCTCCTGCCCTCAATCTTTCCCAGCATCAGGGTCTTTTCAAATGAGGCAGCTCTTCGCATCAGGTAGCCAAAGTATTGGAGTTTCAGCTTCAGCATCAGTCCTTCCAATGAACACCCAGGACTGATCTCCTTTAGGATGGACTGGTTGGATCTCCTTGCAGTCTAAGGGACTCTCAAGAGTCTTCTCCAACACCACAGTTCCAAAGCATCAATTTTTCAGCGCTCAGCTTTCTTCACAGTCCAACTCTCACATCCATACATGACCACTGGAAAAACCATAGCCTTGACTAGATGGACCTTTGTAGGCAAAGTAATGTCTCTGCTTTTTAATATGCTATATAGGTTGGTCATAACTTTCCTTCCAAGGAGTAAGCGTCTTTTAATTTCATGGCTGCAGTCACCATCTGCAGTGATTTTGGAGCCCACAGAAATAAAGTCTGACACTGTTTCCACTGTTTCCCCATCTATAAAAATGCTTTAGCTCACTACTTTTTCCCAACTTTTTTCTCTCAGTCCTGTAAGTCTCCTTCCCTTCCTTTTGTTCCCTTCCATATAGGTATAGTCTCAGGAACCTCATCCAACTAGCTTTCTGTACCCAGAAACAGCTATTAGGTCCACCTTGACTGAGGACGTAATCAAGAGATAAACGGAGCCTTACCATTTCCGTGGCCTTGAGCGCTCCAGGTGGAAGGGGGAAGCAGTCAAGTCTCTAAAGAGTCAGGCAGAGAAGCTCCCCAGAGCTGCCTTATTCACAAACCACATTTAGGCCTGTAGCAAACAGGGTTGGCCAGCCAGAGCACAGAGCTCAAGCATGCTGTGAAAGCCTGACCCCTGTCCGTGACTCTCATCTAAAGAGACACAAAATGGATTCATAATTCTTCCTTTTCTCCTCTCCGCATCTCAGGCCTAGTGGCTATTGATGAAAATCAGGTGGTGGATTGGCCAAACAAGGCCCACCTGTTGCTGTATTCTTGGCGGCATCCCATGAACCTTTCAGTGCCAAGAGGAAATAGCAAGCAGAACTACTAAAGATGAACCGTCTCCCCGTGAACAGGGAGAAGGGAAGCTCTTGGCATGTGGGCTATGCTTGGAGCTTGCCAGTGATGCCATGGGGCAGCTGGGGCTGCTCTTATGCCATGGTCTGCCTTCCCTGGGCCCGTTTTCATCAGACCTTACCACTTGTTTTTCCTCAGAAAGGAGGGAGAAAGTGGTTCCTGTGGCAAAGAAAGAGTCTTGGGGACTCCCACAAACAGGGCTAGAACAGGTAAGCACAGACCTGGAAAGGAATCAACCAGTCAGTGATGGAGGTCAAGATTCCCAAGAGTAAATGAACTGAAGGAGGAGTTCAAACCTGGTGCTCTGTGACAACCTAGAGGGGCGGGATGGGGTGAGAGGTGGGAGGGCGGCTCACGGAGGGGACGTATGTATTATACCTATGGCTGATTCATATTGATGTATGGCAGAAACCAATACAATATTGTAAAGCAATTATCCTCCAATTAAAAAAAAACAAAAAAACGGAAGGGATGGAGGTAAGGCTACACATGCTTGTCTGGATTTCCCAGGCCTGGAGTAGCCTGATGAGAAATTTTCCCTGTCACAGAAACTTTGTATTCACTTATTTAATGACAATAGTTCAGAAGAAGCAATCCCAGCTGTGCTGTGCGCTTCGACCCCATGGACTGTAGCCTGCCAGGTTCCTCTGTCCATGGAATTCTCCAGGCAATACTGGAGAGGGTTGCCATGCCCTCCTCCAGGGGATCTTCCCAACCCAGGGACCAAACCTAGGTCTCGGCCAACATTACAGGTGGATTCTTTACCATCTGAGCCACCAGGAAAGCCCAATCCCAGCTGTAGAACAAGTAATTTCAGAACATTTATCCCACCAAAAACAAAGTGCATTTCCTCCATTTCTGGCACTCTGGTGTGAATCTCTTCCACTCACTCAGAGGCCTCTATTATGCTATTCCCAGGTTGGCTGGCAAAGTCATCAGAATCATCCCTAAATGTGAGTTATTTCCAATATGAAACTAAGTGGCACAGGATGAAGACTAAGGATCAAATGTTATCAGATAATTTGCCTAAAACCAATTTGCCTGAAGTCTCAAATATTTATCAAATCTGCAGCATTTCAAAAGAATTGAGCAGATTCACTCTCACTTTTTTATGACTTATAAAATAGCTTTCATGTATATTTATTAAGGTTTAATCTTTACAAAATTGATGTCTTTGCAAGCCTTCACTGAATAATTGTGAAAGCTGATCATATATATTGCCACAAAAAATGCATTTGAAAAAGGAAACTTGTACAGTCAACAATATTGCACCAAACTAAAGAATAAAACATTAATAAAAAATATTTAATACCAGTCACTGACGACAAAAGTTTCTCTCTCTACAAATGCCAACTGGTATAAATCTTTAAACTATGGAACAAAACAATTTACTATATTATTATTTTGATTGCATGTAGTTTTAAAAACCAATCTGACAAGAAGTTTTTAGTATATGTGCTGCCGAAGCGAGCACTGACAAGAAGTTTATGCTTAGAAATAAGTAAATACTATCTAATTTGCCAAAGTGCAACCAGCGACTGTTTAACTTGTTACCTCAGGAACCAAATGTGGAAACCTGAGTTAGTACAGGATTTTGTATTTAGTCTGGTAAACATTTGTTTTACCTGTGGTAAAACACTTTGTACTGTTGCTATTAGCCCTCTGTCTTCTTGTTCTGGGTAGGTCAGAAATCATAGCCATCAGCAGGTTTTTCATCTTATTTATCAACCTCTCGAGAGAGTGCTTGATTCCACCACTTCTGTCATTAGTTTCACGTGCTCTTCTAAACTCCCTTACAAGTGCAATTGGGGCCATTTTAATATGAAGCTGAGAAATACCTGATATGTCCCCTTACTTTGTCACAATCCAGAGCAACCAACTATCATCTGACCAGTAAAGCAACACAGTATGTGCAGCAGACTCTAGAGTCAGGTGAATACACCGAATGTGAATGCTGGTCCCCTAACTTACAAACTGCTAGTACTGGGGAAAGTCACCTAAGCTTATGAAGGCCCAGGAGGCAAGTATAAATTGCAAAGAAAACCAGCATCTTCCTTCACCCTTTCACTTTCTATTGCTGTTGTCTGTACAACCTTTGTTAGTCAACTGAATAGGCCACATGCTTGTTTGTTGAGAATATATTGATTGGCCTTTTAATAGAACGAATGTAGTAGACAGACCTAGGCATCAAAATCACATTGAGTTGTTGTATTTTTCAAGGCATCTAAATTGGAAAAGAATATTGGATTAAGAAGCACAAAAAAATGATACATGAAATGTTTGTACCAATTATATTTATTGCTGGAAACTTTATACTTAAAAAAAAAAATGTTTGGGATGTCCCTGGTGGTCCAGTGGTTAAGACTCTGAGCTTCCAATGCAGGGGGCATGGGTTTGATCCCCGGTGGGGGAACTAATCCCACATGCCACATGGTGTGGTCAAAAAATTAAAAAACAAATTTGTTTAATGTTTGAAAAGTAGGTTAACACAGAAAAAGATATTATCCACAAAGGTAAGAAGCAATCCAATCATTCACAAAGTGCTGCAAATCTGATAAATTTTTGTTGCTGATAACTCAAGAGTACTCTTAGATGAAAAGATATAAATCTGAAATACCCAAGAACAGAACAGAACAACTAAATGGCTATAAAAATACCCAAAAGGGAACTCAGTTTTTGGCAACCTGATCATTAAGAGAAGTGAACTTTAAGTAAACTTTCAGTGAACTGCTTTTAAGAGGTCTAGCCAAACATTAGGACCAAGAGTTTTGCCTCTCTGGCTCCCAGAACCTCAGAGCTTGGGAGTTGCAGTGGGTAATCCTGGTTCCCTCTGAGAGGCAGCAGGTCCAGAGAGCTGAGCTACTTCTAATGAACCAAGTGTAACAGTCACTAAGAAGAGAGTGTGTGTGTGCCTACAAATGCATACTAGAGATACAGACCAGAATCAGACCTTTAGAAAGTATTGGAACCCACCTGTATGTGCCTGTCACATGCTACAGCAGTCTGTACACAGGGAGAAGGCCAGTCACCCCTACCATGGCAACTAGAGGGCTCCTCCTCCACATCCATTTGGAATGTCTTTTTTCTAAGAAAAAAATTATGTTTGGCTGTGCCAGGTCTTAACTGTGGCACACGTGATCCTTGATCATCACTGTGGCACATGGGATCTTTAGCTGCAGCACGCAGGGTCTTCAGCTGTGGCATGTGGGATCTAGTTCCCTGGCCAGGGCTCGAACCCAAGCCCCCTGCGAGTCTTAGCCAGTGGACCACTAGGGAACTCCCCCATTTGGAATGTCTTGATCTTTGGGTCTCTGGCCGTTGGGGCCCTCCCTAGGGGGCTCTCCTGCCAGGCCTGCAGTGCCTTTCTTGCCTTGGCTGGCCTCAGAGGGGCCCACTGGCCAGAGGAATTTGTCAGTGGTGGTGTTGGCAGCAGCAGTGACAACATCTCAGATATAATTGGCAGGGGGCTGCCGGGCACTGAGCCTCTGCATGTGACAGCCGTGGCAGAGCAAGTGCCCATCTAGAGGGAAGCAGCAGCAGCCTTCCTCATCACTCAGCTGCATCCGGCAGTCCTAGGAAAGAAAGACACTAGTTCAGCTCAGCCCGGGCACCCTGGACATCTGGGGAGTCTGCCTTGTGCAGCACTGAACTCCCAGTGACTGGAAGAAAGCAGGTGGGGTTGGAGGGGATGAGCACCCAGAGAAACCTGGGGCAATACCTCAGCTGGACACCAGGTGTCGCTGCTACAGCAGAAATAATGAGACAGGATCCCATTTCCAGCTGTTACCAGGAGTACCTAGTTTTAAGAGTCTTGATTCTGTTGACGCCTGATTTACAAAGGACTAAAGATCCAGGCCCAGAGAGAGTGGCTGAAGGGTGAGAAAGAGACTGGAGATGGGTCAGAGCACCTTCCCGGTTTCCCACGGCCTATACCTCTCCTACAGACAACGGCAGACTTCACTCCCCCAGCCCCATTCCAGCTCTGGGTGCCCCGGCCCCCAACACTGACCTCGCAGTGGTAGCATTCAAAGTGATAATCTCGGTCCATGGATATCACCCTCACGATGTCCTCACAGCCCTGGAAGAATGTACACCCCCGTGGGCATGAAAGCAGCTTGACAACCCCAGCTTCACCCTCCCCACCTGGCCCCCTCCAAACGAAAGATCACACAGAGGCCTCCAGATCCTCTCTGCCTCCAGCTGTAGCTTTTTTCTTTTTTGGCTGCACTGCTGGGCACATCAAACTTCTCCGACCAGGGATCTATTGCACCTGAGCCCCTTGCAGTGGAAGCTCAGATTCTTAACCACTGGACCACCAAGGACATCATCCTTCGGTAGCTTTGAGATGGCCTTTGCAAACCCTCTGGGAACTTTCCCCTACCCTGTTCTTGGCGCCACCTCCGGAAGGGCAATGTGTCCCCTCTTGGAGCCTCCCTTCTGTCTCGGGGCTCAGGCCTTACAGAGAGGAAAGGGGCATGCAGCGTAAGTAAGCTAAGCTAGGGACGAGGAGACTCTGCAGGGTCTGGGTCCTCACAGGCTTCTGGCATCTTTCCCGAGGCGCACACAGTGTAAATCGTGTCTGACCCCTTCCTAGCAGCCCTGAGAATTCTTCCCACCTTTTCCCGGCCCCTACATCTGGGAGCTGGTGACCTTGACTTCAGAGAAAGTCTCCTTCTCTGGACTGGGAGAAAAGAGATGAAGCCTGGACCCAGCGAGGCTGTTGGACAAGTCCAGGCCCGGATGTTGGGGTCAGGGTGATGACCCAGAGAGCAGAGTCACACGGGAATCTTCGAGGAGTGCATTCCTCAGCACCACCGCCTCCCATGGGAGGCCAGGCAGCCTGTTCCCCATCCCTCCCCAGAGGCGGCAGCCCTGGCTGCCCTGCAGGAGAACCCAGACACACTGACCTCTGAGGGGAGGATGGGCTGGCCACAGGCTGCGCACTTAGGAGCGTAGCTTCTGTAAGGGAGAGGACAGAGATGAGCCGAGGTGGGGGCTCCCTGAGCTGGGTTCCACACCACACCCCGTGGGGCGGACTCACTTGTGGTAGTCGGTGACACAGTACACCTGGTTGGAGAAGTCCACGGTAAAGGGGATGCCGTCCAGGCATTTGTTGCAAACGATGCATCGAAAGCAGCCGGGGTGATAGGACTTGCCCATTGCCTGGAGGATCTGGTTCATGGGGTGGGCGGAGAATCAGTCTCTGCTCTTCAGCTACTGATGACTGCTGCTCCCCCTAACCTCATCCAAGTCCCTGCTCTCCTCCCTCAGCTGTGTAATCCAGGAGGACCAAGCAGTCTTAAAAATGGATGCAGAAACCCTGAAAACGTCTTAGGGAGCATCCAGACCAGTGTTTCTCAGCCTTGGCTGCATATCAGGATCACACAGGGAGGTTTTTAAGCCCATCCGTGCCTGGGTCCCACCTAGAAGTATTCACCACAGTCTCTGGTGATGACCCAGCCCTGGTATTTTCTTCTCTTCTTCCCAGGTGATCTACTAGACTGCCAGGGTGGGGAACCACCAAGCCAAACCAACTCCTCCTTACAGAAAAGAAAACTGAGCTTCAACTGATCTCAGCCAGGAACAGAAAGGGGATTAAGACTCAGGACCCCACACTCCAGGCTCAGGCGGAGGGCGGGTGGGGGCTGTGCCTGCAGTTAGGGAGGGGCTAGATGGCAGGCTGAGTAGTACAGACTTGATCCCACAAGCAAAGAGAAGCCACTATAAACAGTTGTTTGGGCAAAGAACGGGATGCAAGTGATTGCTGATGTGTTTCTCCCCGCTCTTTCCCCCAGGATCCATTTAGTTCCTGATTCCGCCCCTCGGCCCAGCAGCCTCACAGTCTCAGCTGAAGACACTTTGCTTACCTTCTCCAAAATCAAGTGACCACAGACACAGCATTTCTCAGCTGCCTCCTGAAACCCTGAAAACTGGGAAGAGAAGACCAAAGGAGGACATTACAGGCTGAGAACAACCTGAGGAGGGGGACCCCAACAGGCGTGGGAACCAACTCCAGAACCAGGGGACCGCTCACTCACCAGATAGTCTTCCTCACAGTACACAGAACCATTGACGCTGTAGAAAGCCTTGCAGCGCAGAGTCCGCCCTGGAAGCAGCAGAGAAGACGCTGCAGTCTCGCCGGGGTCCAGCACTGGGCATCCCCGTGGCGGGGTCACTGCTCTCTGATGTTTCATGGTTCACTTAACCTGGACTTTAGTGCTTATCCTCCTAACTGCTGTCTGCCCCACTTCCCCACACAAATACTCCATCTGATGCAATTCCCATTTGCTTTGGTCTTATTCCTGCCAATTCCCCTCTCCTTTGCTCACTACTTCTCCGGCTCCCGCCTCCTCACCAGTTTTCTATGCCCCTGCTTTACACGAGTGCCTTCTCCAGTGTCTGGCCTTGCTCGGGGAGCCACCTGGGAAAGCGAAGCCCACCACAGGTTTGGGACAAGGTTCAGGGGCTTTGAACAAGATGCCATACAATGTGTTCAAACGCAATCACATTGTCATGGACTCTGCCCCCTGGGACCTTCAACCCAGGAGCCTCCACACAGCTCTCCTCTGAGCCCTCTCTGCCTCCCCGGGATAAGCTCCATGGAGGCCAGGACATACTGGAACAACCACTGGGGACAAAGTGCTTTGTTTGGGAGCAAAGTTGGTCCCCTTTCCTGCCACACTAGACTGTTCTGTTTCCCCAATGTTAGAGGGCCCCAGAGTCTCTGGGGTCAGAAGCAGCCCAGGGTCTTCTGCAAGCAGACAAAGCTGGACGATTCCCCACGAAACCGACACCCAGGAACTGCCCCAGGGTGTCTAAGTTATCAAGGATCAGGAGCAATGAGACGAGGGCGGAGAATGGGCAAGTTGCCCATATCTGCCCTCCTCTCATCAAAATCTCCACTTCCAGCTCTCCCCAGTGGTTCAGAAAAAGTTGATTTAGAAACTTGTGAGACACAAGGGAGTAGAAGGAGGGAAACAGACATTCCCAGAAGAGGCTCTATAAACGGAAGGACAAACAGACAGATGAACCTAAAGGGAGCCAGGCAGAGGCTGGGAGTGGCGCGGAAAGAAAAGCTGAGTGCTGGAGTCAGACAGGCAGAGATAGGAGATTAAAAGGTTCAGCAAAGGAATCAGAGTGGGTACGGGCGGGGGTTGGGGGTGGTAATGAGGGAGGTGAGGGAAGGGCTGGGGAGTTGAAGCCACTGGGAGCACCCCCCTGCAGGCGGGCCTCCTGAGCTAACAGCAGCGGGCATTCCTGGAGCGTGATGTCATCAGCTTGGCATGGCCTGGTGGCCTGCACTCCAGCGAGGTGGCTGAACTCTGACCAGCCAAGAGAAAACCCCCCCTCTCCACCCCCCACAGCTCCCCACTCCCCCAGCCCACCCCACCCTTCCCACATTCCAGTCTTTCACTGTCGCCCCAGGCAACTCGGCTGCCCAAGACCAAGCCCCACCAAGGAGAGGCCAGAGGGCTGGGAGGGAGTCCAGCCTGGGCAAGCAGGAAGGCAGAAGAAAGGAGAAACAGAGCAAAGGAAACAGGCCGAAGAGAGGGAGGGCTGACTCTGGCTAGAAAGCTGACCCGGCATGCAGCGGGAGAGCCAGGTAGCGCACAGACCAGGGAAAGCAGGAGAGACGGCCAAGGCCAGACCAGCAAATGGAGAGGCACAATTCTGCTCTCCCTGGGCACTCATGCGTGTGTCCGTGCTTGAGGCCTCAGGCCTCGTCCAGAAGGTCTGGGGGCCGCACTCACCACAGGAGCAGCAGACAAAGCACTGGGTGTGATAGAGGCTGTCCAAAGCCTGACAGGCGTTGCTCTGCCCGTAGATGCCTTTGTTGCACTTGATACACGTGCCTGAGAAGAGAGAACAGCTTGTCAGCATCACATCCCACTCCCCCAGCTCAAACCCAGGCAGTCGCCATCTTTCCTGATGGCAGAAGACCACCAGCCACAAGCTCCGTTTGATGGGCTCCATTCTGGGAGGAACGAGTCAATGGAATGCAGCCAGGGCTTGGCTGGACAGACTTACTCTTGTTGACTGATTAATCAACAGACATTATCTGAACATCCATTTAGCTCCAAGCAAAAACACTGTGCCCAACGCTGTGGAAAACTGGAGAAAGTCAAAGGTCCCCGGCTTTCAGATGCTGGTTTCTGTTGGGGAGAAAAGACTAAACAGGCAAGGTCTGATCCCTGGGGCACTGTGTTGACAGAGATGCAAGTTCATAAGGGCCCAGCAGCAGCCTGGAAAAAAAATGTCCTAGCGAAAGGAGGCCAGGCCCAGAAAGCCTCTCCAGGACCTCAGTTTCCCCATCTGTAAAACGAACTGCTGTTCAGTTATAGAAAGAGCTCTGCTCCATACCTCTAAGCCTCCAAAGATGGTGAGAAGGATGTGGCTCAGCAGAGGGCCCTGTGCAGACGGACCACGTGAGTGTGACTCCTCTGGGTAGGTGGCTGCTGAGAATGCAGGGTGTGTTCCAAGGACTGAGGGTTGCAGAGGAAGAGGGGGGAAGGGTGGCAGAACCCCTAATATCTCCCTGTCATCTTCTATAATAGAAGAAGCAAAGCCGAACTGCTCTTCCCCAGCATCTCCCCTAAGATACATAACACCAGGCTCTGGCACCCGCCTTTCCTGGGTGTGTTCTTCCCTCCTTCCACTCCCCAATTCCAGGCCCATGAGTGAGGGCCAGGGCTTGTCTTTGGGGAGCAGATCCCAACCGGCCCGCCTCACCCCTCACCCTACCCCACCTCTCCCCCTCGGCACACTGCCACACTCCTTGCCTGTTGGGGCCCATCCCAGTCTTTGCCCAGGGGCTTGGGAGCCCGTGCAGCAGCTGCAGCGACTGATGGGCCCAGGCCTGCCCTGCTCCCACCCACCCTCTGGCAGCTGGGCAAGGCTGGAGCCAAGGAAGAGGGCCCCTACTAGGCGCAGGAGTGGGAGGGTAGTTAGGTTGGGGGTTCTGTCAAGAGGAGGCAACCTGACCCCTAGGGAGAGAGGCCCCTCCCCACCCACCCTCTGCAGGGAGGGGAGCTCTCTGCCCCAGTGCCAGGGGGGCCTGTTAGAGCCACTTTTGGGGGAAGCCTTGGACATTATGGGAAGATGAGAGCGAAGTGCTCAGGCACGTCCACCTCACCACCTCTAACCTAGCACATCCATGTCTAAGTTCTTCCTGCCATTTCTCCAGCACTCTCTCCCAGCAACTTTTGGTTCTGATGGCTTAGCTGAGAAGACTTCTGTCCACCCATCAGCGGGTCTCCTGGCCTCAAAAGGAAACTGCTAAAAGGATCCTGTCACCTAGGCTCCCTTGACAAAGGGTTATCTGCTCTGGGCTTTCTCAGGTGGGGGCAAATAGGGAATGATTAGAGTTGAACTACGCAGGGCCCTTTCAGCCTTTAGCCCCTGCAGCTTCTGAACCTCCTCCCAGTCTTCCTTCCCTGGCTGAGTTCCTCTCCCTATTTACATTTCCAGCCAGAGTTCTAGAGCTTGGGGTCTACCACATGAACATGGATGGTGAGAAAGGTGAGAAGACGCTGGGAACACTGAACAGGCTCACAGACCTAGGTGTGAGCCCTCCACTTCTTTCTGTACTTCCTATCGCAACCAGATCAGCATTTTTTAATACAGTGAAGTGTGTCTGTGGGTCTTGGCTAAAAGATCATTCGAGACCGCAATACCCTCCCGTAGCTGAGACGTACAATAGTTAATAATTCTTGAAGTTAACTGCGTCGGAAGAGAGGCAGAGACCAGGTTTCTTTAGCACCAGAAAAGTAAGGATTCTGAGCAGGTTATGACCAAAACTGATGGTCAGGTTATTTCTGGCAGTTACACACGGTCGTCATCCATCCAGGGCCATCCAGGGGTGATGCCGTCCCGGTGGCGAAGGCTTCTGCCCTGACTTCCGGAGGATGGGAAAAATAGAAGCTGACTCCACTGGGTCTGGACTTAAATGCCCACGCACGCACGCAGCCAGCAGGACTGGGGCCAGCCAGTAGCAGGGTCCCTGCTTTCCGTCCAGCACTTTCTTCCTCCCCCCAGGCTCCATTTCCCCGACAGCGGCCAGAGCTCCGCGCGTGTTAGGAAGCAGCTCCCCCACCCCCTGCACCCCACCTCCGCCCAGCGTAGCGCGGCCGGCCCCGCCCGCGGGCACCTGGAGCGCCCGGGCAGGAGCCGGCACGCACGCTGCCCGCCCGCCCCGCCCCCCCACCCGCGCATTCCCCGAATTCCTGCGGGAGGAGCCTGGGCCCGGGTGGGGGCGCGGCGCGCAGGAGCACGGCCGTCGAGGGGGTTTGCTCTCACCGCCTCATTTGCCCCCCACCCCCCACAAGGCCTCCTACCGCGAAAATACCCAGGCTCTAAAGCCTGAGGAACTGGGATTCACGAGATCATCGGGGCGGAGGTGGGGAGGGGGAAGCGGTGAATTTAACAGGAATAAGATGCCCGTGGTCCATTTGAAACCCACTGGGTATGGGAAATTCCTCTTGCTTCTTTCCTAGCCCCGCGTCTCTGCCTCCGACTTCCCAGCGTCAGCCGTCGGGGAAACGGGCAGCCGAATGAGGCGACCGGTGCTTTCCCGACCCTAACCACTTCTCTCACTCACCAAAGTAGTCCTCTCTGGACTCTGGCTCCCGTATCCGGGCCCGGGCGGCCTCTGGAACAAACGCACCCGGCGGCTCCTCGAGACCCGACGTCTCAATCCCCGCGGATTCTCCGCGGACGCCGGCTTCTCGCCCACCTGTGCCCACCGTCAGGCGCAGCAACGCTGTTAGTTCATCCTGGTATCGGGCGCCCGCGGCGCAGTCCCCGTAGCCAGTCACCGAGTGTCGTCCGGGTTGCGCCCCTCTTCTCTCCAAGGGCCCTGTCGCTCCCACTCCGGCCCCGGCTAGAGCTCCCGGGCTGCCCAGGGCCGGGGGATACGAGTGGCGACTTTCCTGGCAGCCGAACCCCGCGGGCCGATGAGCGCACAGTCGGTCCAGGGCAGCGTGGAGCTCGGGGTAGGCGGACGGCACCCCTCCAGAGGAATAGCCCGCCGGAACCCCGGCCAGGGGTGGGCCAAACAGGCATGGCCCGGCAGGCAGGGGGCTGCCGTGGCGCTGGTCGTAGCCCATGCTGATGCCGCTGGTACGGTTGCTGCAGGGTCGGCTACCTCCGGCTCCACCAGCCCCCGCCCCGTCCAGCAGCAGACTGCCCCGGGGACTGGACGGCTTGCTCGCGTCGCTGGCTGAGCTACTGGCGAAACTGGAGCGGGGGCTTAGGGCTGGGGCCGTGGTCTCCAGCCGAAAGTCGGGGGGCAACGACTGAGGTAGAGGCAAGGCCCGGGAGGGAGGTGGTCCCCCCGGAAAGGAGCCTTCGTAGCGCGGCACCTCAAAGGAGCCGCGCGGGTTCCGCTCAGCGTCCAAGGGGCCTTGCTCCCGGGCTGGCTCCAACGGCTCATCCCCAGGTCCCCCAGCAGCTCCACGGGGCCCTGATTTCCTTGGTCCCCCCAGCCCACTCAGGCGCCCCTTGCCCGGCCCGGGGGTCCCATCAGACCCAGACCGGCTAGATTCACCCTTTCTGCGGCCGAACTTCGCGCTGCCGGAGTCCGAGAGTCTTAACTTCTCCAGCAGGCGACTGGCTTTCTCCCCTAAACGCTCCATGCCCTCGGGTCTGGGGCGTCCAGCCCCCTCCCCGCCCGGCACCCTGCAGCGTCTCGGCGGCCGCTTCTCTTTCCCTGCGGCCGGACTCCGGTTCCCGAGGGGCACAGGATAGGCACAGGGGTTTAGCGGGCGGTCCGGATGCCCGGCGCCAAGAATCCCGCAGCATCCCCCAGCGAGAGGGGTTTCGTCCCCCCGCGCATCAGGGGTTAAGCGGGGCTAGAAGGGCCTACGGCCGCAGCTGTCCCGTCCGCAGGTCTATCTGTTCACGCGTAGACTCGCCCGGCAGCCCCCACTCTCCCCGGCCCCCGCCCCCCTCGCTCACACTCAGCACCGACTCAACTTCTCTCCCAAACTTTTGTCTGCCTGGCCGGATCTACTTTCCTGGAGGGCGGAGCGCCGAGCGCGAGAGGAACAGGGGTGTCGGCGCAGGAATCCAGTGCACCGGTGAGGGGTGGGGGGCGGGTGCTGGTGCTAAGTGTCCCGGAGCTGGAGATCCGCCGACTGGAGGCGAAAGGAGGGCGGGGGCAGTTTAGACAGTTGCTACTCTATCACTCAAGAATTAGGACAGGAAAAAGTGGGGGAGGGGCGGGGAACTCTTTGTTCGCAATTGGAATGCGCGGAGGGGCACGGTGGAATGTCGCGATGCGAGACCGGGCGACGCGAGGCTTGTTCTGCGCAAACACCGTGACTTTGTTCCTCGTGTGGGCACTGTGGAACATCAGCACGGAGTGATGCAGAAGTACTGTCATGAGACAGAGGGAGGGAAGAAAGGCAGACACAGAGAGAGGTTCAGAGACGCGAGACGCGTAAGAGCCCAGGAAAGCGAGGAAGTTTTTATAGAGAGGTGGTGGAAGACAGGTGTGGAGAGGAGAGAACGACCGAAGGGGATCGTGAGTGGTGCGGGGATCGAAGCCCTGATAGACCTAGAAGGTGACAAATTAGCGCAAATCCAGGGAGAAGGAGAGAAAAACAGATAAGCTGAGATAAAAAGACAACTCTCTGAACCTAGAACTCTGTAATGGGTGGGAGGGAGCTTTAGTGTGTGAAAAAGGAGAGGAAAAGGCTGGAGACTAATCTCTACCTTCGGGGTGGGACTGATAGAAGGATAGATAGACACCCCCTGGTGTTGGGAAATGAGATTTTTAGCAAATATAGCAAGTGACTGGGGATAGAAGGCCTGGTTTGAGGTTTAGCAAACACCCTTGGTTGACCCATAGGAGACTGGTGATCAACAGTAAGTACTAACCTAAGGGGAAGAAGAAAAAAAAGTTATTTAGAGGCGACAGCAAGTGAAAGTGATCAAGGTGGAAAAGGAAAAGAAGCTGTTCTTGGAGGATCAAGAATAAGGAAAAGAGGAAGCCATGGCTGAAGCTGAATACACCTAATTAAATATCAGCCAACTGATTTTGCCCAGACTAGCACATGGGGCGTGGGGGAGGGGAACTGAGAAAGAAATGACTCCTTTGTATTTAGGTAGTAAATTAGTATGAAAATGATATTCAAACAAATCATGCATATATTTTCATCTCAACATTTTGAACACCTTTTATAATCTTAGTGTAGCCTTAGGGAATGGAGAAAAAAAGGAGGAAATCAATTTGATTTGGGGAAATCAATTTGGCACAAACTATTAGGCTTCTTTGTCCTAGCTGTATTGTCTCCCTGACCTCATCTCCCCTGAGAATCAACGTGTTTCCCAGGTCAGGCCTACAGCTTTTCTCTGATCCAGAGGAGAGTTTACTCTCAGACTGGAAGCAGGGAGAAGGAAAGCATTAGTAAGGGAGCTGTCAGGTTGCCTCCAGAACCTGCCGTGAGCTACGTCTTCAGGATCAACCATAAGCTTCTCCCTCCTCTCCTGTCTCCACATGGGGAAGGAGAACCTGGATTCTTCCTTCCAATTACTCACATCCTCCAATATTTGGGAACTTCGCTCCTCTGGGGTTAGAATGGGAGAGTAAGTCTTATGAAAAGTTTTGATGCCATTAAAGGAGCCCCATCCAGGAGTTGGTGGTGCAGAAATGGGCAGAGTTGGGATCAACAACCTGTGTTTTCAGGGGATAACAGAAAGCGGACAGATGAGGGGAGGGTGTGGCATGCTGACAGGGTATGCTCCGGCAGTGCTCACGACCTTGGAGTAGACCCTCCATGGTCTGAACTGGAGCTAGGAGCTCCACAGGCCCTACTGTCCACCCCCTTAATCAAGCTCTATATACACTGGTGATTCCCAAGTCCACCTCTCTGCCGAGAGCTTCTTGGACTTAAAAAACTCAGCTGACGACTAGCAGCTTTACTTGGCTGTCTCAAAGGCGCACAACACTCTAAACCGACCTCACCTTCCCTGCCTCCCCAAACTGGCTCCTCCAGCATTTCCTGAGTGAATGATACCATTTTTTTAACCACTTAGCTACTTACGCCAGAAACCTGAACATCAACCTTACGTCCTCCTCCCTGAACCTCAAATCCAACTGAATCCTATCACCATCTATCAATTCTGCTTCTGAAATAGCTTTCAAATCTGTCCTTCCCTCATCACTACTATATGTATATGTCCTATATCTCAGGCCATCTTTTCTCTCCTGGACCACTGCAAGTGTCTCCCTGCCTAGGCTTTCTCTCCTTCCCATCCATCATATACACTGAAGTGAAATGATTCTTCAGAAACACAAAACTGATCATCTTATTTCCCTGTTAAAAACTTGTCAACGAGGGACTTCACTGACAGTGGTTAAGACTCCATGCTCTCACTGCTGAGGGCCCAGTTTCCATCCCTGGTTGGGGGAGCTTAAAATCCTGTAAGCCCCGTGGCATAGCCAAAAAATATATTTTACAGAGTGTCTTACCCCTCCAGCCTCTTCTCTCGGCATCATCCCCTCCCCAAATGGTTCTGCAGCAGAACTGCACGCTGTCTGTGCTCTCTTGCCTCTGGACCTCTGTACTTGCTGTTTTCCCTAGGGCTGGAACACTCTCTCTGCCTCCTCTTCCTTCCTGGTTAACTCCTCCTCCTCTTCCAAGCATCCATCTAAGCACTCCTCTGAGAAGCCTTTCCAGGCCACCAGAGCAAGTTAGCTACCCCTGTGGTACACAGCCATGACACATACACGCTCCCCCCACCCCAGTCACACTTATCACAGTTCATTTCATTGCCTACTTAAATGCCTGGTTTCCTGACTAGATGATAAAACTTCTGCTCAGCATCTAGCCTGTTCAACAGAGTATCCACAGCACCTAGCACAGTACCTGACACCTAGGAAGCAGTCAATATGTTATATGACTGACTGAACAAAGAGAAAGCTATGTTTACTTCTCAGTCTATCCAAAAATGCACACATTCTCTGTGTGTGTATGTTCTGAATTTGTGCTTATGCATACACAAACACACATACACCTTCCTCAAAATACAGTTTGGCTGACAGAACTAAGAGATAACTACCATGACCCCATATACTGCTTGGTCACACGGTGGGAAAGAAGCTGCTGGTGAGACAGAAGAATTCTTTAAGCCTTAATTTCCTCATGTATAAGTCAGGAATAATAAATGCTTCCTTATATAATTGAATAAACAATAGCTATTACTTCTAGATCCCAACTCCAATTAGGTACCGAGCTTGTGCTCTGCTCAGAAGCATCAAGTCCATGACTGAAACTGTCCACCAGGTGGGAGTGTTACCCTGGCCTGGTGCTGTGCTGCTTCCACTGCAGAGCCAGACCAGCAATCCGGGGAAGTCGAAGCTACCACCAGGGCCACTTCCCCAGAGCTTTGAGTGAAACTAGCAGAAAAAAAAAACTCAGAGACCAGGGCACATGTCAAGAAGGCCTGTTTCTTTGACCCATACTCCTTTTCTCATCCTAGGCTCCTCCGAGGCACTGTTTATGCTTAGGAATAAGCATTTTCAGGCTTGCCATTCACAGTCGGGGTGTTTTTCCCCCATGAAAATAAGTCCTTTTATCCCACCAGAGCCGCTAGCTTCCACTTCCAGCGGAAACTGTGTTAAGAGAGGCGGGTTTGCTTCTTCAGACTGTAGAAGACATCTCGTTATTTTGGGAAGCCCTGTGGCCACCCCTTTCAGGAACATGGGGAGTGGCAGATGCCAGAGTTATTCTTGCTTTTAGATCTCACTCATCCTTTTCCACCTTGATTTCAATGAATGAGTTCAAGTCAGGACAGCAGGTTTTGTGGGCTTGGTCAAAAGATGGGGATACGGGGCCATTCTCATCACCTCCCTCATCCTCCTCTTCTTGGAAATTAGGATTATAAAGTTCCGGTGGAAGAAGCTGGGCCTCAGCAGAAGGCAAACGGTCTGAGGGAGGCCCATATACACGGTTGGCTTTGGTGCCATGCTTAGAGTTGGCATCCAGGTGATAGCAGAGCTGCGTGAGGCGCTGGGCCCGGAAACGGGGAGGCCGGGCCACCCAGACACCTGGCTCATTAAGACTGTCCTCTTCATCTGACATCAGCTCCTCTGTCACATCCTTCCATAGACGTTGGTCCTCAGGGCCAAAATGCCTCATGATGCTGGATCGGTTGGCAAAAAGCTAAGGTAGGAGCCCAGGACAGAGATTAGGAAGAGCAACACACCACGCGTTAGGTTTGGGGAAAGGGTTTGGGTAGGAGGAAAGCTGTGAAAAATCTGTGCCTGAGAGAACTAAGTTCTCAAGAGAACCCAAATCAGATCTTAGAATTGGCTCCTGTCTTCCTTCTCCTCCACTCAGTCCTGTTCTCAGAGGCCACACCCTCCCACTGTGGCTTATTAGGGTTTAGAGTTTAGCATCTTTTCTGAAAGGAAAGCCTAGAAACCTACCCGGTATCTGCGACTTCGAAGTTTCTTCTCCTCTTTCTCCTTCAGGCCTTTAAAGGGGTTTAAGGAGTTGCGATACTCACGCCTCTTAGTCAGGAAGTAGGCTACACAGGCTCCTGGTGGGGAGGGAGAAGGGAGGCAGCAGAAAGCAGGGGTCCTCAGCCCCTTTTATTTTTGCCGTAACACTACCAGATGGAAGAGGGGAGAACCACTTTTACACGATGGGCTTTCTGGGCATATCCATCAGCATCTATTCATTCCTCTCTGGTGTAGCTCTCTCTGCCCCTCTGCATCTCTAAAAAGACAACTCTGATGCTTCTGCAACTCCCCTCCCCCAACCGCAGTCAAACCTACCCCATTCTACTCAGCTGACAGCAGATCATAAGTACTTTTTCAGCAGACACTTTCTTAATGCTACAGACAAATAACAGAAGAGCACAAGAAGTAGGAAACCCAGGACGTGGTATGTAGGGACAAAAGGGGGGCCTGAATTCTAACCTCCTTTTCCTAACACCCGAGACTCGGGCTCTGTATAAGCATCATGCATGATGGTGTTCTAGCCCCTTCCTTCTCCCATTTTCATTTCAGACTGAGTAGGGGAATAAAAAGACAATCCTAGGTGAAAAAATAGCCAAAACCAATTTTTTAAGTCCACTATTTTCAAAACCACCTAAATCAGAAATCTCCATAGGCCTCTTCTCTGGTCAGGAACAGGGGATGAAGAAAGGCTGGGGTGCAAGTTAACTCGGTCTTTCTCACCTTTCAGCTCCTTGTCAGTGTAATTGTGGGGACTTGTTACCAGCTCTTGCTTGAGCTTTTCCAGAAGGAACTTCACTACGGAAATATTCCAAGAGGATTTGATGCTGCCACAAGAGAAGAAAGTAAATAAGACAGTCAGCATTTTAAAAGCTAGACAGAGATTCCTAGCACTAATCAGCTTTGTGGGAAAGCCCTCCATGGCCTAAGACACGACACAAAGGGAATGGTGAGGTGGAAGCCCTAGCTTAGCTATTATATTGGAGCAGCCCCCCTCTGCTTCCCTTTCCTTGGCAAATTTCCTTATGATCTTTGCCCTCAAAAGGATCATACCTTTCAGACCCATTGAATCTCTTGTCATTGGTGATGTGGTTATGCACATTATGGACCAATTTCTAGGGGAAACAAACAAAACACAGAATCAAGCCAGGAACAAATATGAAACCCTTCTCTGGTCCCTATGGGGTTTTCTGCATGAATCTTGCCCATGGCCTAGGTACCATTTTCTGTTGATGCCCTTTTTTAGCCAGAGAGCCTACCCATGTTAGTGTCTCTAATGGACACCCCCCAACAAACTTTTTTTCCTTTTCACTTAATTTGTGTGGAGCCTTCAGAATTATTCTGGGTCTTGCTCTTGCTCTCAGGGAGTGTGGTCACTAGAACACAGGTTTTCAAACATTTCCACAAACATAGTAAGGAGAAAGCAAATATACAACAGGGCTCCTTCAAGTAGACACATTTCTCGAAGCCCCTTTAGTCAGTCAGTAGCTCAGTCATGTCTGATTCTTTGTAACCCCATGGACTGTAGCTTGCCAGACTCCTCTGTCTGTGGGATTCTCCAGGCAAGAATACTGGAGTGGTTTGCCATTTCCTACTCCAGGGGATCTTCCTGATCTAGGGATCAGACCCGTGTCTCTTGCATGCATCTCCTGCATTGAAACCCCTTACTCTTGTAAATTAAAAAAAATTTTGGTAATGTGTATGTATTTCTCTTAACATAAAAATGTCTTCCAAAATCTTCCAGTAAAACTGGTGACCCAGGAAAATGTCCCAGGTATATGCCTTTGCACATTACCAACAAATCCCAGGGGTCCTCATATCATGGTCCAAAAAACACAAACCTGAAATAACAGAAATGTGAAATGAAAGGGAACTTGGAGGCACTGTCACCCAACCACCCGTTTTCATCATTAAACAGGCTATCTTTCAGCTTTGCTTATATACCTTTAATGAGGGGCTCTCACTAGTTTTTGACTCAGCTACTATGAACATCTCTAATTGTTAAAAAAAAAAAAAAATTTGCCTTAGATACTCCAAAATCAGACCCCAGTTTTGCCCTAATAGCACCTGAAGTATGAAGACAGCTTCCATGTTCTTCAGAGGTCTTCTCTTATCTGGTCTAAACACCAAGTCCTTCAACCAGTCTTCATGACATAGTTGCCAGACAGACTTCTCATGAAACTATGACGCTCTGGTTTGCCACTGTTCCTCTTACAACATGGCACCTGGAACTGAATCTAACTCACCCGTTGAGGTCTGGCCAAAGGGAGTATTACTTCCCTGAGTAAAACTTTATACTTCTAGGAATGAAACCCAAGATGCTGTTACCTTTCTTAGCAACCCCATCCCTACTCAGTGTCGCAGGGTTCATTCATAGTAAGCCTGTAGTCAGCTCAAGTCCATTTTTCACACAGATTACTATTTCCACCCTTCTGCAACTGTTTTTTTTTTTTACTTTAATGCAGGATTTTACATTTCTTCCTATTAAATTTAGTTTTGCTGTTTCTGATTATATTTTCATCCCAAGGTCCTTTAGTCAATGGAAATTACCCAGTCCCAAACTGATGGGATGCTGATCTCAGGATTTCAGCTTCGTATTCAGAAATGCCCAATTTTGCTTCTTACTCCTATGACTGACTGACCATATCAACTTAGGAAATTACTGTTAACTTTATGACTAGGTTCTCCACTCCATAAAAAAAAGAGTTGTACTAGCTTCATATCTGATATAGTTATTTTACCTTTTAGAAGTCCAAACTTGAGAAATCACAAGGGGATGGGTGAATGCTTCAGAAAGAATTTGAAAGAGTTGCAAAAAAAGAAAAAAGATGGGGGAGGAGTTGCATAGCTTTCCAATTCAATTGACTTGGAAGAGATCAGCTGATAAAAATCAAACCAAGCTTGAAGTGAAAAGGGAAAATACTCTAGCCAATAATAAGTGTTAAGACTAAAGAATGCTGGCTCACTTGCCTCCTGAGCAAGCTAAAAATAAATAATTTCCCCAATGGGTGGCTGGATCTGCAGCAGTCCAAGGAATTAAGGTTCTGATTTGGGCCTTTTGGATCCCTGGCAGAGCAGCAACCTACAGCAGCCTCAACAGATTGGAGAGATGACTCTGGGATTCCTTCCCAGAGCTACAGGTTGGAACAGTGAAGATCTGCAACCATCCCTCTCCCTCTGAACCCACAGACTCACACAAGAGCATTTTATATCTTTCTCTGTGATGGGAAGCAACACTCCCTGACTGGTCCACTTGCCCATCTTCACATCCTACAACACCGATGGCTGAGCATGCTTCCCAGAAGGCACTGTGCCAAGCTCTCCAAAGGGCAGGAAGAAGCCCAGCCTCACCACTAGACCTCTCACTGTAGGCAGTATGCACAAGAGGAATTGAACTGACCAAAAAAATCCTGATTTTATGCAAACTGTAATTATCACACATATACTCTGATTTAAACCCTAAGAATTTGGGGGAATTCTCTTGAAATGTACTTCTAGGTATAAGCCTCCATTTCTGTCACTGGCAACAACAGTGTCCTGTTGGACTAGAAATCAATGACAGAGAAACTAAACCTACTCCCCATTCTTGATAAGTGACATGTCATTGAACGTAACCAAAATCTGAAATAAAGGTTAGAAATCAGTTGATACTGATTATGAATGGTGTCTTCTGGAAGGGGGAAGAAAAGAATCTATCAACGTTAAAAACAAATGAAAGAGAGAGTAAGAGTAGGATCTCTTAGAAAAAAGGAGAAAGAAGTAATATAAATAAAGGAGGTATAAATGGTAGTCAGCCACTTTCAATCTTTACTAAGGCTGTAACAAGGAGAAATGGGTTCTATACTCTGCTGAGATTTCACTGGATGTCAGTGGTGACCACCACCCTTGACCAGAACTCTCAGGTTACCTCATATGCTATTATCCAGAGACTGGAGACCCATTACAGTCTCCATTAGAAAGATGTCTTGGATGACAGAGCTGATCCAAAGGTCTGTGGTCACCCTAAAACAGGGTTTCTCAACCTTGACTCTAATGACGCTGGGTAACGGATGGGGGTGGGGTCAGGGGATCCTGTAGATTGTAGGATGTTTAGGGATGCACTAGGGCTCCAAGCCACCCACTCCAGTGTTCTTGCCTGGAGAATCCCAGGGACAGGGAGCCTGGTGGGCTGCCGTCTATGGGGTTGCACAGAGTCGGACACGACTGAAGCGACTTAGCAGGAGCAGGGCTCCAAGCCACTGTAAGGTTTCAGGCAGAACTGATTCAGGCCAGTACCTTCCCTTCCAAGAGCTCTGAGAGTCACCAGAATCTTCTAACCTTTATCCCTGAGCCGAGTGTCTAGTGGTCCTCTGCATCTTTGGGGTATGGGACCACTTCAGGACACCTTGGCCTTTCTGCCCAAGGAGCCCCTTGCTGCTTGCCTTGAACACTGGTTATCTGCAGGCAGTTTCTAGTGCTATCCTGCTGCAGTCAATCTGCTGAACCCCATAAAGATCTTCCCATCAGAATTATGAGATCACCAGGAGACATGACCTAATTCCCTTATCTTTAAATGGAAGATATATCAATCTATCTGGAAGAGCCTAAACAAGTTCCACTGATAGCAAGGGGCTGGTCTGTCCCTGGGGCTAGGGAACAGTCTGTCTCCTCCTTGCCCTTCCCACTCCAGCAGGCTTCAGGATACCATTCATTCCACATGGGACAGTTTAAAGTCAACTCACATTTCACTCTTCACTTATCTCTCCAGACGGAAAAAAAAATGTATAGAAATTGAGCTCACTCACAGAGAGGACCAGGTCCCGCTTGCGCCTGGAGTTCTTCTGCCCACTTCCTCTGGTCCTGCATGGTGAAGAAGTGAACCCTAGAGACTGTCTCAGCTCCCCAGTTCCCCCAGGGCCTGACTCTTCCAAACTCCCTTCCAGGGCGGCAGCAGCACTGAGCATGTCCTCAGGGCGGGGTGGCGGTAGCTTGGTTCCATTTTCTGGCCCGGTCTCTGAGGTTGCCCGCTGGATCGCCAGTTGTGTGACTGGTGAAAGCTGCTTGGCATAAGCAGGCACCAGCACCCGCTGCACTGCACCTTCAGAGGCCACATAATCGTCCACCAGCTAAGAGCATACAAAAAAAAAACACCCCTATTAAGCAGCCAGGCTTGTGGGAACCTGGTCAACCATCATTCACTGGTAAGTATGATGAACAGAGAGTGGGGAACAGGGGGGAATCTAACCCAGTCTTCAGTGGCTCATGGCGTGTTTCTTTGGGACTCCGGTGGGAACGTGGGGCAAATATTTCTTGCAGGTACAGGGCCTCTTGGGCTTCCCTGGCGGCTCAGACAGTGAAGAATCTGCCTGCAATGCAGGAGACCTCAGTTCCATCCTTGGGTTGGGAAGATCCTCTGGAGAAGGCAATGGCTACCCACTCCAGTATTCTTGCCTGGGAAACCCCATGGACAGAGGAGCCTGGCAGGCTAGAATCCATGGGGTCACAAAGAGTCAGACACAACTGGGCAACTTTCACTCAATGGGTCCTCTCATGTTGGGTCATTACCACAGGACTGAGTGTAAGGACAAGGCAGGTTTCTGATGCTCTATTTGTGAGTAGTCATTTATGCTTTGCACCTGAGTATAGGTAAGGTAGCTAGGTAAGTGTTTTGCTTGAAAGGGATTGAGGGAGAGAGAGATGATAAGAAAAGAAAACCAAGCAAGAGGAGGAGTGAGAAAATAACAAGAAGAAGAAGGAGAACTAGAAAAATGGGAGCAAAGGAGGGAGATATAAAGTCAGAAACCTCTAGAGAGGCTGGCACTGCCTTCCCCCTCCCCACACCCTGCCCTCTTGCCTTTGCGGGGCCAGCGGGTGCCCTCACCTTGATCCTGCCCTGGCTACATCCGACAGTCGCTGCCCTGACATCGGCTTGCCTGCCTGCGCCCTCACTCAAGGACACACAGGCTAAGAGAAGGAAGGAGGGAGGAAGGGAGAGGGAGAGGAGAAGAAAGGAGGGGGATTTCTGCAGCCAGGAAAACAAAACAGTGAAAGTGGGGGGGGGGGGGGGGGAAACACAGAAAGAAGCGGGGGAGGAGGCTGAGATTTATAGACCTGTGAGCTGCTTTCTGTGCTGTGAAATCTAATTCCATCCTGTCGGCTTGGAAGCCTTCCCTGCCAGAAAGAACCACAGCTCAGGGCACTGCCGGGCCTGGTGCCTCCCTGCCTCCTCCCACCTTCCCAGCAGCTCCTCCGACACCCCCAAACCAAGGATAGTGCCTGGGGGGCAGACCGGGCCGAGTCTCGGGGCCATCACCCACCCGTGCGGCTAGGCCTTGGTGGGGCAGTGCCCGGTTGCAGTATGACCCTGGAGGCGGCCTTCATTCCTCAGGTCCAGCAGACGGGCTCAGAGTCTCAGCCCCCCCCCACCCCCCCTGTTCGGCTGCTCTCTCTACTCTTGCCTTGGTGTCGGGCCTTGTCGTGGGGGGTGGAGGAAAAGACAGAGGGCAGAGGGAGGACGCCGTGGAGGAGAGGGTGGATGGGAACTGACAGACCTCCCACTGTCTCTCAAGTGGCAACACATCTGTTAGCTTCCCATCTCTGAGATCTCTAGACTTGCTCCATCTCCTTTCCAGACTTCCATGTGACATTCTTCAGTTTTTACTCTCAGCCAGGATTTTCCTGCTCATATGGCCCTGAGCAGTAAAGAAGCTGAAATATCAGTGTATTTCTATGTCTTTTCCGGCTCACAAAACAGGCCCGTTGGCTTCCCTCTTCCTCCGTACGTGTTATTATCCTCTTAGGTAAACTATCAACTGCCCATTTTTCCTCATTTTATTTCCTTTCCTCTACTTCCCTCCTGCCTTACCTCATATTCTCTCCCTTGCATCAATTCTTCTTCCACTTAGGTTCAGCTTTCTCCTCTGCTTTTTCTCCACTTTTTCTCCTTTCTGAACCCTTCATTTCCAATGGCCTCTTTCCCCTTTTGCACCTGTCGGCTACTAGCTTTGCCCTTTCCCTCCCTCACTCCCTGCTCTCCTTCCCCATCTCTGCCTCTCTCCCCTCACATCCCCATCTCTCTCCTAGTCCTGAATTCCTCTTGGCAAGCAGAGGGCCCGTGATCAAATATGAATGAGTCATCTGTGCATGGCAGGCATCCTCGCCAGGAGAGGCAGAGCCCATGGAGCCATCAGGCAGTTGTGGAGAAGGTGCCACGCAGCGCGACAGAGCAGGAGAGAGGGCAGGGCAGCCCCGATGCCACTCGTGCCAGCAATGACCTTCCACCAGAAAGGCCACGGGCTCAGAAAAACACAGGAGGGCTGACTCTCCCTGACGACAAAGGAGACGGGGTACCCTGCTGTTGCATCACTGATACCACCAAAAGAAAGGCTGAAGGGTAGAGAGAAGACAGAGAAAGAGAGGAAGGCCAGGAAGGGCACAGGGGAGCAGCTCGGCTCCTGTCCTGTGCTGTGTACTCACGGGGTTGAGCATCGGGGGCCCCTCGCCCGCAGTCAGGGCGCATCCCGGGAGCCGCACATCTCTCTGAGCTGCTGGGAAGCCCAAGGGTCCAGGCCCCCCCGCCGAGGCCGCTCCCAGCTGCCGCAGCTCCTCGATCACCACCTGCACGCCGCTGCCCACACTGTCACACTCCTCCTCCGCAGCCGGCACGGCCCTGCCAGCCTCCCCGGGGCTCTCCTTGAGGGGCCCGGGCTCCTCCAGCGGGGAGCTGTGTGCCCGACTCTCCCTGTCTTCATCCGTGGCCGGTACCTTCCCTTGCCTCAGCTCACCCACTTCCTCCTGGAGTCGTTTTAACAATTCGTTGTTGGCCCTGGCGAGACCCAGCGCCGCCTCGGCCAGACCCACGGCCTTATCCACCCGCTGGTAGATGATATGCAGGAGCTGCTCGGAGCTCTGGACAGCCAGGCCGTGTCCCGTCACCGTGATCGGGGTGCTGGGAGGAGGGTTCCCGCCCTGACAGCCTGAGCTGGCCCCACTTGTCTCGTTCTTACACGCACAGCAGCAGCATCTGGCCTCGCCGCCACTGGGAGGGGAGAAGAGGATGGTGGCGCTGAAGGACATGGCTGTCGAGGCGGGAAGGGCGGTGCTCACGCTGCCGGACTGCTCCACAAGTGTCCCCAGCCGACCAGACCGCAGGAAGCGCTGGCCTCTCTGGATTCACTTTCCTTCCTCATGGAGGGTGGTCAGAGGAGCCTGGGCACCCAGGGTTGCGTTCTCTGAAGGAGCAGTGGGCTAGCCGTGAAGGCGCACACAGTCCATGGCTGCCTCTTCTCGTCCTGCAGAGTGCAGAGGGCCTTCTCTGTGCAGATCCCGGGCTGCCCTAGTCCCACACACTGGGGGGTCACCCTCACCCTTTCCCCATAGGGTGGGCCTACGAAGGCCTTCCCGAGGAACTTGGTTTCAGAGGGTGGAAGGCATGAAACCCCCCACCACTCCAAAACTAAGGAAGGGAGAGGGGACTCTACAGGACCCACGGGCATCTGGAAAGATTAGAAGATTAAGGAAGAAAATGTAGATCTGTCTTCTCCGCCTCTCTATCTTGGCTATAATAACAGTATTGCATTTTATTGCTTTGACATCATTCCTTAAGGAGTTCAGAACACTTCACATAGGTTAATCTCATTCACACTACAGCTCTAGGAAACACATATTAACCCAGGGCCAGAGAAGAGACATGCAGAAAACTTATATATCTTTTTCAAGGTCAGGGGAAGACAGCAGAAACCAGTTATTGCTACTTTCTATCTAGTGTGCATGTGATTTTTTTCTTAAACTGATACCACTTTTTGTTGACATAAAGAATCATGATTCTACGATCTCTATAATTTGCATACAGATGCATTCAGAATAATACTCCTAAATAAGGAGGAGGCCAATCAATGCAGCCCCCAAGACGCTGCCAACCTCACACTATTATATCATTAATGCTTTGGGGATGGGCAGGGAAATGAAAGGAAAACCTGGATGGGAGAATTGAGCTTCCCTAACCAGGGCTGCAGAGACCCCTACCTTCACACTTTGCACACCTGGGCCTCCGGCCTCTGCAACAGAAGCTAACTGTTAGGAATGCTCCAGCTGGAAGCCCAGAAAAATCACCTCCAGGGCCCCCCATCTCCGCTCCTCATGCTGCTTAAGGGAGCAGCAGAGCTGAACAGGAGTTTCTAAGTAGCCCCATGCTGCCACTCTGCCCACACAACCAGCCCCCAAAAAGAGAGATCAGAATATCAATGATAAACCAAACTGCCTGTCCTCTGAATCACTGTAGTTAAGCGCCTAAACTACTCCAGGAGAAAAAGAAGAAAAAAAGTGTGGGAGGGTTTGTACCACTGAGAACACTCCAAGGAACTTCATATTGTCATTTTCTAAATGACACTTGATTATAGAAAAAAAGATCTTTCTGCCTGAAGCTCCCTAAGTGACAAAATCTTATGTTTACAATTTCCTCAAGAGATACGTTTCTATCTTACCCTGTAAATTATATCATAACACCACAATTAAAAGGAGAGGAGGAGGTTAGGAGAATTTTCCACATACAGAAATTTGGGGTTTTACCTTTTTTTGAATCAGCAATCTCATTTCAGAAACAGGCAATATCAATGCCTCTGAGGTACTAAAATGGAAATCTGACAATGCATTTTAATTACATTTGGTTATTAAAGAATAGTCTTTAATTTGCTCTTTCTACCCTTTATATCGAAGAAATGCTTTTCTGTTCTAGATATTCACTTCTTGAAATAACGTAACTCAAATCCATTTACTGCTTCTCTGTCATTAGAGTCACTGGAAAGCAGAGCTAAACCTAAAAATCTAAAGGTTAAAGTCAAATTAAAACTAAAGGTTAAAGGAAAGCACTAAGCAATTCCCAAGTCAATTATAAATGAATCATTAATAAATCCTTTTCCTTCCTAAATAAGGGCCTACACGCTCCTGTGGGGTTTCAACTTTTTTAAAACCAACATCATGCAAAGAGTTTAACCTGAAACATGGATGCTGTTAAGAAAAAGAAAGTTACGTAAATGATAATATACAAATGATCGCCCACTTGGGTTTAGGACTTGTACAGTAAGAAATTAAGACCTGCCACTTATGTACTATTTTACATCAACTATAATTCAGTTACAAAAAAATTTGGGGGCAGCACCACTCGGTTTGTGGGATTTTAGTTCCCCAACCAGGGATTGAACCCAGGCCCTGGGCAGAGACAGCACATAGAGTCATTATCACTGGACCACCAGGGAATATACCCCCCAAAATTGAATAAATCAGTAATATATAAAATAAGCTATAAGGATATGTGTGTATGTGTGTACTCAGTCATGTCCAACTCTTTGAAACTCCATGGACTATGCCAGGCTCCACTGTCCTTGAAATTTTCCAGGCAAAAATACTGGACTGGGCTGCCATTTCCTACTCCAGGGGATCTTCCTGACCCAGGGATCGAATCCAAGTCTCCTACATTGGCAGGCAGATTCTTTACCACTGTGGGACCTGAGAAGCCTAAGCTACAAGAATATACTTTACAATACAGAGAACGTAGCTACAAGTATTGGAGTACAACTTTTAAAAACCGTGTACCACTGTATTATATACTTGTAACCTATAATATTGTACATCAGATAAACCTCAATTTTAAAAAAAATTTTAAAAAACTAAGGTGCATCACGTTGGGACCAACAGTAGGTATCCTTCCTGGGATCAAACTGACAACTGCTACACTCTTGCCCCAGATACCCTTTCTTGCAGGAGGCCTTCTCCCCTGCTGGCCTTGTACCTGCCTCAAGCCTTTCTGTCCCCTTAAATGGTCTTTCTTAGGTCATCTTCCCAAAACAGCACTGAGATGGGAGTAATAAATAAGTAAATAAAATAAAAAATAGGGTTCTCATCATGCAGCACCACTTAAGGGCTATTTGAACTTGGGCCTCAGTGTCCTCTGGGGCTATCTACCTCCTCTCTGCCCACTTCGAGTGTTTTTGTGAAGATTATTTATAATATATATAAAGGCACCAACAGAGTGCTGGCACATAGTCAGTGCTCCACACGTAACAGCTGGATTCCTGAAACGTATTGTGTTCCCATCCTGAATATCCATGCTGATGTCCTCATTTTGGGGAAAAAAAAAGGCAATGGCTTGAGATAGAATTTGGGAAGCTTCCCCTCTAAATTCAATATCAAAGTTGTAAGAAATGAATTCAAGTCTACAAAGATGCCTTTATCAGTACAAAACCTTTTATGATGCAAATTAGAGAGGTAATTGAGAAAACAGTATTTGTAACTACTTGCCATCATGAACTGGCTTTAGACTAAGGAGACTGTTCAAATTTACTCATTTTTAATTTTGTTTATTTATTTATTTGACTGTGCTACATATAAGATCTTAGTTCCCCAACCACAGATGGAACCTGTGCCCCCTGCAGTGGAGACTCGGAGTCCTAACCACTGGACCACCAGGGAATTCCCAACTCTGCTCGTTTTTAATGCTAAATATATTTTCATATTTGTGTTGACATAAAATATCATACTAACCTGCTCTACAATTCTGTGCCTCAGTTTCTTTCTGCTTTTCAACTTTGGGTATAACCTAACTTTATCCATTTTAGAATGCCACATTTAGGGCAACGAATACGTGTTTTCTTGAATTAATCTGTCTATAAAACCTGGTACAGTGCAGTGTAGCACAGCGGGCTTTCAAATAATTCTTTTGGGGTATCTATGGACATCATTTCTGATTTAGTTTCCCTGGGTCCTGCTAGAGTCTCTCACATAACGCCTAAGACCCTGAATAAAAAGATAAGGAAACTGGGGTTGGCAGGTATGAAAGGAAGATTTCACAATTATATTTACTAACCAGATAACAATTTAAAATGCTAGTATCAATAGCTACATGTATCTTCATTAGAGTTATATATATTTAAAAAAAAAGTGTTTCTAAAAATTCTGTCTATATAAGGCCATGCTAAAAGATGAGTCACCAAAATGGATTGCCACCTCCAAGTACTCAAGTGAAAGGAAGATAAAGTCCCTCCACTCAAGGAGCTTACAGTGCATATTAAAGAACAAAGCAAAATATACACAAGTGGCTAAAAATATAGAACAGAATAGACATATCTTGAGTTAGTTCAAAATTATAGAAAGATCAACAGAATGAAACCATGTGAGAAAGGGGTCTTATCAAAGAAAAGTCTCCAACTGAGACCTGAGCAGGTATAGGATGAACTGGTACCGTGCTAAGAAGACAAGGTGAGTGAGAGGAAAAAAACAAACATTACAGCATTTACAGAGTCCATGTGAGAGGTCAGAGCAAAAGGGCTTATATACAAAGTACAGAAAGCTGACAGTGGGCTCTGAAAACCAAGTTAAGGAAACTCTTAGATCGGGGTCAGCAAACCTTTCTCTGGAAAGGACTAAATAAACTTAGACTTTGCTGGCCATGTGGTTTTTGATACAACCATTGGACTTTGCCATTGTAGCACAAAGGGGCCATTGATGATACATAAATATAAGAATGGCTGTGTTCCAATAAAACTTTATTAATACAGATACATCACAAAATATTACATTTTAATATTTATATTAAAATATAAAAGCCATTCTTAGCCCATGGGGCCAACAAAAACAGGTGTAATGCCAGACTTAGACTACAAGCTATAGTTTACTGACCTCTGTCTTAAGACACTTAAAGTGGAACAGTTAGAGATTACAAGGCTGTTTAATCCTGGAGAGAAGTGACAAGAATGTACGTTTGTGGATATGAAGGTTCAACATCCTGGAGAAAAGACTGATCTTATTTCTTAACTTAATAAACATGCGGGATAGAGGGATTGGTTAAGACAACTTCAAGACTGTAAACCTAAGGGTCAGAAGATGGTAACACTGACAGAATGATAGAAATGAGGAAGCTGAGAGGCCCACCAGCATGATTGAAAGATGTATATTTATATAACATGTTAAATATCAAACTGATAGCAGCATCTTTAAATGGAATGTTCTGAAAGCAACTGGCTAGGGCTGAAAAACAAACAAGAGGAAGGTCAGAGTTGGAGTGCAGACTTGGAAACTTTAGC